GATCCAAGGCACGCGCCATCAAACCTCTCCATCTCTTCTTCTTCGATCTTGTTTGTTTCTACACGCGAAGGACAAGATGAACATAAAGCGTGATTCTTGTTTAGGTTGAAGGAGATTCTAGAAAGACTTGCAACGTAATGTAACTTTCGAAACCAAGAAACCATCTAACTTAGGGCTCTCCTGTTACCTTTAACCTTTGATCACGTGTTGTTACGGTGTGACGTGAAATGCTCGCGTTATTTGGCCCGACGTAACGGTATTACGTGACCGCTGGGATCGAAGTTTCCGCTCCCAAGAGTAGGGCAGGGAAATAGCTCAAGTTTCGTTTTTTACGTTGTCAAGGATATGTAATACAAACATTTTCGTATAATGACAGCGGATTTTTTTGTTTATTATCCAGAATGAGTTTTACGAGGCGAATTCCATGATGAAACCGCAATATAAGCCATTCCGAAGGACCGTCACGAAGAGCCGTCGCGAAGGAACGTCATGGAGGACCATCAGGTTAAATTTTCCTGTTAAGTATGGCGGGGAAACATAATACCACGTGCTTAAGTTAGCAGTACATTTAGAAGGGAAATTGATGTCACGTAAAGACGTGACGTTACGTGGTCAAGTACTGTGACTTCAAGTCATGTGGCGACAATATCTGCGAGGTGTTTCTGCAAGGCGATTGTTTTCGCTCCACACAATTTGTACTCACCGGTCTTTGTCGGCATGATCAAGTTTTACAAGACTGATCATACTGTATAATCTTTTCCTATTCCACGTCCTTAGCACGTTTAATTTACAACTTGTTGAACAAATATCAACTGTCCCAATCTTCGACTACGTTGCACGACAAAATACCATAACAACAGCTTTGTCAAGTGGCTTGAAAAGAACAGGATAGAAGTGTTACGCATCGCACATACATCCATAGAGAGATGACTGTGCTGAAGCGGCGGAGGATGGTTGGACTTTTATTTAAACATTTATCTGCATTCATTCATTTTTATTTAGCGTGCATTTTATTGGGGTAAATATATTTTTAAAACACAGTGAAGGAAAGTACGGAGCAACCGTCACTCACTCAACATGACATTTGAAGCTGATTCCAGACTGAACTTCGTGCATTACTCCCTGAATACAAAAATATGTTTTCCCTTTTTTAAAGGCTGCAGTTTCAACAAATTTTGGCAGTGGCAGCCCCGATACTGACAAAAACATTGCCATGTTGCTTATGATAAGCAGGAATGAGATAGGGAGGAATTATGATACCTGCAAAGGCAATCCATACAGAGCGACGACAAACTTTTAAATAAGTAAATTTACTCATTGTCAAAGAAGGTACGATAACCTCTGAACATACATACCCATTCGCCATATTTTCACACCCTTTCGTCGTTTGAACCACCTTTACTGCATATCTTCTAAAGGGCAACATCATCAAGACCGGTGTACGTGTTCTTATAAAGTCTGATTTAGTGCCTACCAAAAAAGGTCAGATATGGAAAATAAACCGCTTCTCAATATGTTTTTTTTTTACAAATATTCAAACTAAAACGCACAAAAGATTGTTTCTTGCTCAAGTAGAAACACTTTTTTACAAGATAATAGATTAAAAAAAAGGTATGTCTATAAAAATGTTTATTAAACGTGTACGATTATATAATAAACAAACCGTAAAAGCGACAACACGAGCACCTCTTTTAACTAACATTTCTCTAAGAACGCATCAACGGGAAACTCGCCCCGAAGTTTTAAGTGGGAAGGAAAGAGCTTCTCTTAAAAATTTATCATGCATATAACGTGTGCGTATTTTTTTAGCGATAGTCCGGATATTAGGCATGCTTAAAAGCAGACATTTTATGCAGTCCAAACTGTAAATAAGGGCGGACAATAAATATGACAATTTATTATGTCCAAATAATTCAGTATGACAAATCGTGACAGAGTTTGTGAATGGGTTAATACGTTAGTGGTGATTTATGTATTACACATGCTCTTTGTGAGATAATAAAGTATACGTTTGTCAAGGTAAGCTGCGTATATATTTTACATACGGATTAGGATCCAAGTGCGATTTTTGCACCGGGTGGAGACTATTTAGTGCATTCGGACTATACAGCCGTTGCGGATTATTTCGGGAAAAACTTTTTTTTTAAACTGAAATTTGTCTTTGGGGACCATACTCAAAGTGCGAACCACGGTAGAAAAAAAAAAAAAAAAAAAAAAAAAAACACGGTGGTCTACCGGCCCTGTTCAATCATCGAACTCATATCTTCAAAACGGAACGTCTCAGTGCCTTGAGCAATAGTCCAAGGGAAGCGAACCGGATGCGCCTCCGTCGGTGCTATTCAGCGAGCCAGATTACCAAAAAATGACAGATTTGAGCAGGTCATGCCACCGAATGATTGGACACCAGCGCTGCGTCACACTTCGGCAAGACACTCGGTCGTTCGAACTCAAAATTGGATCCAATGACCGCGGCCGCGGACCGCCTCTGAGTTGCAAAAGTTCCGCATAGAATGGCGCTACCTGCCGATCCAAACTTTATTGCCCGGTCGGTATAGGTAAGGCGGGCTAGGGGATACTGGTACGGGTGAACACCTAGGGTTTTCTACGGAGGATGGCTGCAAGCACTTTTCCCCTCTACTCTGCGTTTCTGTCTACCCCGTATATTTTGACCATGCTCCCCACCCTGTGTATAACCCGCAAGGGTGAATTGCGTTGGAAAAAAAAAAAGTTTTTCCTCAGATTGTCCGCACCTTGTGTATAGTCTGCAGGTGAAAAATCTCACACACAGCACACCTTGATGAATTCCTGCTTTATTTGCTCCGAAAAAATGGCTGTATTCTCCCTAAATCGTTAGTAACATACTCTGCCATTTATTAAATTCGTCACGTCTCGTTATAATGAACAATATAAAATGATCAAATCTATGTATTGTCTGCATCTGCACACGGCCGCGCAAATTTTCAGCTTTTAAACAAGTAAAGTCTAAAAATCATAACCTGGAAAATGTAGCAACTGTCGATAAACGGAGATTATGCACCGCATGCGCTGGACGTGAAATGAGGGACCATGATGTGAAGGGGGCAAAAATATGTTTTACAGCTGCAGTGTTTAGGGGGCTCATTACTACGTTTTACGACGAAGTGAGCGTTAATGAATTCAGTTTCCGCGCTAAATTTAGCGGAAAAATTGACGTCACGTGACCTATTTACCAATTTAGTTTCCCTGCTAAATTTGGCGGGAAAATTGATGCCACGTGAGCTGACGCCATGGGACCTACAGACGAATTAAGGTTCCCGCGAAATTTAGCGGTGAAATTTACGTCATGTGACCTATGCACTAATTCAGCCTCTCCGCTAAATTTAACGGGAAAAACGATGTTGTGACCTGACGTCACGGGAGTGAAAGAGCGATTCAGGTTCCCACCTAAATTTATCGGAAAAATTTACGTGACATGTCCTACCTACCGATACAGTATCCCCGCTAAATCTGTCGGAAAAATTTGTCACGTAACCTGATGTCACGGACGCCACAGACAAATACAGGTTCCCCGCTAAATTTTACAGAAAAATTTACACCGCGTGACAAATGCACCAATTCAGTTTCCCCGCTAAATTTGGGGGAAAAATTGATGGCACGTGCCCTGCCGTCTTGGGACTTAGACAAAATAGTTTCCCCGCTAAATTTAGCGGAAAAATTGATATCACGTGACCTATGCACCAATTCAGTTTCACCGCTAAATTTGGCGGGACAATCTGGCCACGGCGTGAGCGTAAACCAAAATAACCGAAAAAGCTGCCCCGCTCTCAACGCATTACGCTGTATGATCGTCCCCCAATTGATTTTAATAAATTTAAACAATAAGTCTAATCTAAGTGTAGACCAAGGTACATTTAGAAAGGGGCACATTTCGAGTGAAATGAATGAACTGACGAAATTAAATATAAGCAAGCCACACACTCTCTAACGGAAATTCGCACTTCGCTACATAATCTTCTCTTACTACATATTACGAAAATAACGCAGTAAGACAAGAAACAAGAGTAAAAGGAGTAATTACTTGAGTTTAATGTTTATTGCTCAAACACGCTTTCTAATACTATTTATTATATATTGCCATTCATAAACTTTTAAACACTAGAACTTATGCATAAAAAACCTCACAATAATGGGTGAGGTGTATCGCCGCATGAAGTATTATTTATGAGATTGATTGCGTCAGTATAATATTATTACTAAACAAGGACGAATTCTGTCTAAAATATTACATGCTGGACCGGAAAATTGAGCAGGCGATATTGATTAAGATTTCATGCGCAAACACAAAGGACGAACACGGAGGAGTGGGCAAGGACAAGCGTAAAATGATGCATGTTTTCATAGGTAATGAAGGAAATATAATACAATTAGCCAATTCTCTCAAAAGAGCCTCTAGGAACCGAATTTTCGCAAAAAAAAAAGGAACATGGATATCTTTAGAAGAGATATTTGAGAATACTAAAAACTTTGATTGTCTTTAAGGAATACATTTGCCCTCTAAATTTAATGCTATACTGTCGCGACACTAATCATATTTAAAAATGTTTTTGGAGTTTCTTCGTACTGACGCAACTTTTACGAACTGAGCACACTCGAACCTCGTAAAAATTTTTAACCACTGATTTGCAGGCTTTTTTTTAAAACAACTGTGCTTGGTACTAGGCAGGTGCCATGGCTAAATATAAGCTACAACACTCTCGTGTTGTCAGCGCTTACATACAGCTACAGTTTTATGTCAAGGCCGGAAATAGAAAAAAAAACATCCTGTTTTTCTTTTTCTATTTCCGGTTCTGACATAAAACGTTCTGTATTAACGGCTCCGACGTAAAAGAAAAACATGCTGTTTATAAGCATACTAAAGGCTTCTTCCAGCATGAATATAAAACCCAGCGCAACCACTTCGCACTGTGAAAAAAGTTCTGCTGGGGTGAATTGCAAAAATTTCCCTGCAGCCTAGCTGAACCATGGCTCTGATGTTCTTTGTCGTAACTGCCCTGATAAGCTTTACTCTTTGCTGTGGAAGCCAGTCGTGGCCAGAGTTAAATCCAGAACTTGAGAAGTACCAAGACATATCAAAGGTTAGTATATGTATAACAACGATTGGATTCGGCGAGTACAACGTCCCCCCCCCCTCCTCCCCCCCCCCCAAAAAAAAACAACAAAAAAACCATCAAAGGTCAGTATATGTGGATCCCAGTATAACACCAATTGGATTCGGCGAATGCAACGTCTCCCCCCCTCTCCTCCCCCCACAAAAACAAAACAAAAAAAAAAACACAGTTTTAGCAAGAAAAAGTATTGGTCGGTGCTTAGGTGTATAATTAAGCAGAAATATTCGTAGAACTACGTGTAAGTGGACCAAAAAATGAGAGTGGATGATATAAAAGAAGCTGTGCCTTATCCATTCGTATCATATCCGTTGTTTGTGGCAGCTGGAGATACGTCCACCGACTCGTGCCGCATGACGATGTCGGGTGAACAAGAAGTGCATGCCCGTGGCTCGAAGCCCTGTAAAAGGAATTTTGCAGCCCCCCGGGGGGTTCATCTACGAGTCGGATATGCGGAATCCCGTGAGAAGTAGGTCGGCGGAGAAAACACGGGCGCCGCTATTGTCCTACCCCAAAACCCAGTACAACTTTCCGCTATCTGCCTAATGAAACAGGAAATCATTTTGGATCCTATATGAATTTTAGGTTTTCAGAAATTATTCCTTTGTCTGTAATCTGGATTTTAATTTTCCGGTAGAAATTTCTGTTAGATTTCTTGTTCCATAATCCAGATTATGTTGGATTTTGGGGTAGGGTGGGCCATTTCAAAGAGACGGTACGAAGGTTTTTTTGGGGAATAAGCACACACGGATAAAAAGAGCCGACTTGGCCTCCGTGGAGGACGCGATATCATATTCGCCGCGCCACTGAACCGCGGTGCGAGAAGTGTGTTGTCACACACGAAAGCTCACGGGTTCTATTGTTTTCTTATTTCCGCGTTCAAAATATCTTAAATTTATTTTGACGTGCGTGACGTCACTTCCGTGCATAGGTTCTCGTGACATTCCGTGACCAAGTTTTCTCAGCACTGACTTTCCAACTTTGCACCCCCATTCCAAGCGCGAAAAAAAAAAAAAAAACATAAAAAAAATCAAGAAAGTTGATAACCTTTGTATAAGATAACGGTTATTTCTTAAACTTTCTCACGTGGTCTTGACCACTAGATTAGCATTTTGGGGGAGATTGAGTTCGGCGATGCGTAGATTAATTTTACGGAAGAAAAAAGAAAGAAAAAAAAAAAAAAACGGCACGCGATCATGCAGGAAAAACAAAAATGCGGTGATGTTTACGACTTTTTTTAACACAGCTCCAGTCAGAGTGTTTTCAAACTGTGTGGTTTCTGTGGTTTTAATCGCGTATTGCGATCACAAACTTATACGCAATTGTGATCATGTGCGATCCGAATCTTTTTTACCGCACAATGCGTTAAAAGGGCAGTTTAACGTACGATATTCACTTGGAATGTCTTTCACTGTTCACGAGCTTACTGGCACTAGTGGGACTCAAGGATACTCGCAAGCAACGCCACTGGCCAAGAAATTCCCATGTTGCGATGTAATTTCAAGAGCAAAAGCGAGCGCTTCCATTCAAGCTCTCCTTCGCAAAACTTAACGAAGTAGCTGGGCGGTCGCAGTACCACCCAGTGACGATATTTTAATGCGGCTCGTAGATTGAACCCGAGCACAGCATGAGCACTCGCTTAGGGCTCGTGATGATCAATAGCTCGATAAGCATTCGGGTAGCGGCCCATGTCCAATCGCTGCAATGACGACAATAGCCGAACGATAACTTTATATATATGTCTGGAACTCAGCGTGTGTCTAGCTGTGGCTTCCCAACCCCAGCCCGTGGTTATGATAAACATTGGTGGCATATAATCGGGTCCAGATCATGACGCCGATTGTTCTATCTGCGAGTGGAGGGGGTGAACGCTTCTCGTTTTCCTTTATTTTTTTTCTGGGACTTCGACTCCGTGTGGTTAAAAACGAACGGTGTTTCACAGGGATCCGTTCTAAGCGGTATTTGCGCAAAGTACAAAAATTGTTGCATCGTCCCTTTAAACCTTTACCAGGTGGCGCCAATGCTCTTTGCATAGAGCACCGTCTCCCTCCACGTTTAGCTTTTCTGTGGCAAAAACCAGATCAACGCGCCCATCCACACCGCTAAGCGCATGCCCGTCGTAAGTGCTTGCAAGCTAAGATCATCTCTCGGTATTTGCCGGCACTATTGGGCGGTTGCTAAATCGTCTCGACGGCTCAATCGTCTTATCAAAATTAGCTCAGTGAAAAATGTAAGTTGTTTCCTTCTAATTCGACGAAATATCTTAAGCAGAGGTGGTGACGATTATCCAAATGTCATTTCCGACGTGTCTTCGCGGGTAAAACATATTTTAAAACTTCTTTTTTTCGTTCATGGACGTTGACGGATATTAGGTGGGTGGATTGCCGTCATGGCAGTTTGTGCGTATACACCTTTTTCCGTTCACCCTTGTCTCTATATACCGCGCAGATAATACATCCGGTATGGGCGACGAAAAAAAGAAAAACACCAAGCCATTACAAAATGAACTAAGGACAAAAGTGGAGCGGAAGTTCGTCTGCTTCTTTTGCACGGGTTGTGGTGACGTCAGAACGACGCCGAGTTTTGATTGGCTCTGATTGAAGGATAGTGGGTAGACCTCAAAGCAAGCTGCCTTGAGGTCTACCCACTATCCTTCAACCAGAGCCAATCAGAGCTTGGCATCTTTCTGACGTCACCACAACCCCTGCAAAAGAAGCAGACGACTACGTAGAAATGATCTACATAACTTTTCTGCATTCCGTTTAACTTGAAGTCTGACCGCAGCTGTCGGCCACAAACCGATGAAGCCATTCGAGACGCGTCAAAGTGCAACGGCACGGCGCTCGTGCGCTCGTCGTTTTAGTGTGTTTCCTAACACCGGCATATCCAAACACACACAGACAAAAAAGTGCCAGATCACGGTGAATTCACTGCGTTTAATTGGCTCAGGCGGATGAGAGCAAACGCGCAAAGTCGACGAGAGCCTGATGGAGTTCGATTGTCTCCACCGGGTCGCAGTGTCATCTGCGGTCGGACGTAGAGTAAAACGGAATATAACGATCTAGCTGTTAAGAGCAACTTTTACCCAGAATGATGAGTAGTAGAATCACGCAGTCGTTTCTGTGCTCCACGCGATTGTTCGGCGGCGTTTCTTTGTAGTACGCCCCCACCACACGCTACTGACGTACAGGCTGAAATCTGTGACACCCTTAAGGGTGTAAAAAGGCTCTTCCAGAAGCTTACACCAGTCGCTACGTTCTTTCAGCACCCTTATTTAGAACAATATACCATTTTTTAACTGTGATGGTGGTGTCGCGTGAAACACCCTTCATTTTGAATGGTCAGAAAAGGGTGTGGAAAAGGGCGCTTGTGTAAAATAAGACAAACACCCTTTTCCGAGGGTGTTTGTCCTTCAAGAACACTTTAGCGAAGGTTGTTTTGGCAATTATGTCAGAGACTTATTGCTTTTATCGAACATGTCAAAAACTGCGCACACCAGCTCGGAGCACGTGGAGCGAAAGCTCGGATCCTGGGTTCAATCCCCACCCCTTCCCGTTTCGATATGAATGAGATCGTACCGGTGTGCGGTCGTGTATCACTACTGCGTGATGCACGTAAAAGACCCCAGGCTAGCGGTCGTACTGCACTGACTAAATTTCTCATCTACAGCGAGTGACTCGTCGCCCATTCAGACAGACTAAGTTCTAGAATCTAGACTGTATAAACATACACACAACCCCCAATTTGTTGTCGCGTCTCCTATATCACCTGTCTTATATTTAGGAACTGAAGTGTTAATATTGTGACGAGAATGTTGAAATTACAATATAATATTCGAGAATAGACGTGGTTTTCATAATACTGTAAAACCCTTTATTTTCGCTGCCCCTATTTTTCGCGAATCGGTCACAGATGACGTAATCGCGACCACTAAATTTCGCGAATTCCAGACGCCTGCATTGAAAATCTTAAGGACGGAAATTTTCGCGCGCCCTTAAATTTCGCGAATTCTTCAATTCGTGAAATTCGCGAAAATTGAGGGCTCGCGAACATTAAGGGTTTTACGGTAGTCAAATAATAATGTTCTAAATATAGAGGGGAAGAGAAATATAGAACACTTTCTTTTTTCTGTTTATGGTTTAGAAACAACTAGAAAGGTAACTAAAACGCCGTCAACGAAAAAAAAAAGAAAAAAAAAAGTGGAAAAAGAAGAGATAGTAATAGCAGGTTATACTTATGAAAGATTGATTTTTTGACATACCTTTCCGATTCACTAAAAACTAACTTCACCACTAGATTAAGGATAATATTTTCTCATTTTGGCGACACCCAGTGTATCTCGACATTGTCAAAATATTTGAACAACAAGAAATATTTGAGCCAAGCTTTACACACAACCACTTTACGAACAGTGCTGAGCAATCGAATAGAGCTTGCGCAATGAGCTGCCCCGCAATGATTGAACATTACAGTAGTGAGAAAAAAAAAAAAGAAGCAAATAACGGCGTCAGCCGTCATTGGCTACGTGTCGTAGCGGGTTTGGTGTGTGTTTCGTGTATGTTCCTACTAAATACACGTCACTATGTCAAGAAACTGTCAACATTACTAAATTAACTCAGTTGTGGAATTCCCACAGGGAGAGGGTTGCGCCCTCACCCTCTTGAGTCCGCCTCCCGTGGTTCGAAGCGCAACCTAGATTTTCGTTTTAAAACCGTGCATTCCGTAGAGTACGGTGAAGCGCCATCTGGACGCTGTGCTTCAAGACATATGCATTCCACAAAATACACTCTAGTTATCGCAGCAACCATAGCAGCCACCCATTCCAAAAACGATGGCATGTCGAACGACGGGAGGCAGACCGTGGAGGCAGAGGGGGCAGCTACCCGTTGTAGCAGCGTCCATGGGGAGTTCCGCAACTGAGCTAATCTAGTAACGTTGGGCTCTGTGTATGTACCTGCACAGTGTTTTGGCAATGTGACGTCATGTCACACTACGTTACCATCTTTTCACTAAATTATCGGCAAGATATTTATTTTATAAAATAGCGGTATGATGGCTCATCTGAGTGTAGTGGAAATTTAGTGTCAAGTGACGTCATGGTATCACACGATCACTGTCTATTAGCTTTATGAGAACGTAAGTCAGGTAAATTCAACCCCGGCAGAGTAACTTTGTGCAGCAATGTGCACCGCCTCGGCTTTTGCCGCAGTTGGCCGAGAGAGCAGAGAAGCCCAGGAGAGGTGAATCGTTTTGTAAGCTAATCTCGACTTCCTCACTTCAATATTTTTTTTTATTCCAGTGCTTCCCACTTACGGAGCGTTGGTACGCTATCTACAGAAACTTTGAGACGGACCCACTTTTCGGCGGCACAGCAAAATGCATCAGATACATCGAAAGCGGACTTCCAGTGAACGGTGCCCATTCAATTCTCATTGACTTCGGAAACCAATCTGTGTAAGTGCAACCAAGGGTATATTCAAATATTTAGCAGCTCCTATATACCAGCTCTTGTTTACAAATAAACCGGAGCGCCTCTAGCAGCACGACACCGGTGCCGCGCGTGTGCGATACGGTGTGGACAAGAAGATCCGCGTCCCGCATCAACAGGCCATTGGAATGGGATGTAGTCGGCATCGGTCTGAGTCCGTCTGGTTGTTATCGCATTGGAATCGTTGATTATATAGGTCTTCCTTGTTGCCTGAGCGAAATTAACGAGGCTCGTTATACCGCGAACTTTGGATAAAAAATGTGACTTAAGGCGATTCACTGCTCTGAACGCCGCAGAATGGATCCTGAAGCCTGATTCACATAGTGATATTGTGCTTGACTTTTTAAGCAGCGACGTCGTTTGGGCTGTAAAAGAGTGGATGTTAGCTGCAATACTTGACATCGATACTGAAAATCGCAAGCAGAATCGAGCCACGTGATTCAGGCATAACAAGTCTGTGATGGCTACTGGTAACAATGATCAATATCTCCTAGCATCTACTGTTTAAACCGAGCCTACTTACTCCAAGAAACCTGAAAGTTTAAAATTTTTTTGAGGCCTGTATTTCGTATCGTAACGCTCAGTTTACTGGCCGCTGTGGTTTGAACGAGCAGGCGACAGTTTGAACAAATTTAAAGGAACAGGCGCCAGTTCGAACGATCAACGGCCGTCTAAACGTGGAGACGCCTAGAACGTGTATTGCAGTTGGTCCCGACAACTGAACGGTTTTGCGCGTTTATGTTGGAACAAAACAAATAAATCTGACAACCACAACCATCCGTGAATTCAATCCTAAGTGCTTCCCGCATGCGAAATCGTGGTGCGAAGGTGTTTGGTTTTCTTTTTCACTGCACCTACTTGTTCTCGGACGAACCGAGCAGGCCTAAACCACAAGAAAACTGATCTCCACACTTTTCCGGGATTTTTTGGTACAACCCCAGTCGCGGCGTTTTGACCAGTAGGCAAGTTTTAGTCTGGCTTGTTCCAAAACATCACATACATGTTTATCCCTATTGGCGACTTCCGCCCATAATCCCAGACCGGAAGTGCGCCCAACACGCCACCACCGTGGCGTGTTGCATGTATTCATTGATAAAATCCATACATTGTTTAATAAAAAACAACAACCAAGAAACAAACAAAAAAATCCCCAAAACATTTGAATTTCAATCATGAAACCTTGGTATGCGAACGTTTTAGTCCTTCAGTTTGTTTTTTGTTTGAAGTGTTATTTTACCTTATAGCGCGAGTGTAGTTAGAATTACTGTAAATAAGAAGGCTACAAAGTTCTAAAGGAATTTTCGCTGTGTAAACTTGTAAGGAAATTTGGGCGAGATAAATTTTAGGTTGTTCCTGCCTCAAAAATCAATTACTCTATATCTGTTTCCACCACCTAATCGTGTTGAATAGGAAGTTGAGATGGACGGGTCGGCATGGGCCCTTCTTTGTAAGAGCTAACGGATTTCACTTAAATAATTTGCGCCGATAATTTGTGAAACACTTTCTTCTTGCTAGCGGCGGCGTCCTCAATCGACCACGAAAACAAGAACGCGTTGCAAACTGCAGCAGCTTCTGTTTTAACTAAGGTTGCTTTGTCTTGGACAAATTAGATTTACCGATTCAAGGCTCTTGCACTATGCAGTTTCTTAAATAAAAATAAAAATGAAGCGTAATTATTTAATACAAATATAAAATAAATAAAATGTAAAAGGAGCATTTTATACAAAAAAGGATGAACACACATGGCACAAACTGGAAGTGTCGTAAACTCTCCGTTGGCTGTGGCTCATTTACACCACGCTTAGTGAAGCGGCACACTCGTAAACTAAGCATTTACTTCACACGAAAAATGTGCCGGTTCAAATATAAAACAAATACAGTAAACAATACAAACATATGACTCCTATTGATTGAAACAAAAATTGCACGCGTTTTATGTGAGATTAATCTGGAGATGCCACTCTTCTCGAAAAAGAAGCTTTTTGAGTGTCCGCAAGGGTATGATTGCATATTTTTACAAACTTCAGTGATTTAAATACACAGCATTATTTGGAACCTCGTAGGACTAAGATGTACGCACATCGATTATCATAAAACATAGTGTAGTTATGTTGGTGGTAGTTTAAGATCGAGCGCGTTTCAACGATGTCATCAACGGCAATCGTAGAAACTCCGTGGTCCTTCCACGCTGCTTTTAAATTTTATTTCTTTAAAACTAAACATGTCTGCACTTTCAAATTAAAATCCATGTTTTTCATGCAGTACACGCTACAAGGTAAAAACAAAAAGAAAGCAGAAGATATAAATTAAATCAAATCAAATCTTTATTTTCCAGAAAACTGGAGGGTTCGCCAATCAAAAAGCTGTTAAAAACAGCTTGACTAGGTTTGGTATCCCTTTACACTGGCAGCAGCTTTGACACTCAAAAACACATGTTGCATGAAAAAAAATCACAACAAAAACATCTAATTCAAAATTTTACTACGCGAAGCTACACAAAGTACACGCGGAGGTCTTTTCTATTTAACTCGTATATGTTTAGGTTGTCTTTAATATATTTGTTTAATAAGCATGGTACATTAAAGTGTAGTGACTGAAAGTTATAGTTTGTGCGAGATTGAGGAAGCACATACATGTCTCTGTACGGCGTGTTTGTCTCTGTACATTACTAGTATTACTACTATGTACATCACATATATGTCTCTGTACATTACTATCGTACATTTTAAGCCTTGAAATAATGTAAAAAATTGTCGCATAAAGTAAACGATATTCCCACCAGGAAGTATTCTGAATTTCGTTAAGAAATGTTTTGTGTTGCTCGTAACAAAATATCCGCAATATAGCGTACTTTTTTGCAGCAGGAATACATTTTGAAGAATTATCTTTGTCATGATATAGAAAACCCGAGACTGTGGTAAAAGCAGTGAAACTTGATCGAACAAGAAAGACAGGGAAAGAGAACGTCTCAAGACATTCTCTTTCTTTCTTCTTGGACCAAGTTTCCCTGCTTTTACCACAGTCTCGGGGTTTCTACAGCATGACCAACATCCACCAGCTCGCCTGCGCACTCACTGTTTTTTCTATCTTTGTCGTTGTAGCCCACACGAGATGATAGTAGTTGAAATGGGACTGAAATAGAGCATAGTAAATTTGTAGCTTAACGTTTAGGGCAAAACACTCCCACAACGAGCGACAATACAAAAATATCGAGAAAATTTAACAACAAAATTGTTGACATGAGATTCCCACGTCAAGTGCTCCGAAAAACAAACACACATAAAGTTTTATGTTTATTCACTAGTTCAATTGCTGAAGTGCCAAGTTGGATTGTAAAATTTACCGCGTTTGGTTTATTCGTAGCCCTGAATAAAATAGCCTTGATTTTTGTTGCATTTACGTTCAGCCCGTCTACCTGAAATCAAATATCAAATTTTCTTAGAAGAAAGCTTCTACCGTAATGCCCTAAATCACAAGGAAACTGCTGAACCATGTTTTTGTTCTGATGCCGAACACGTCACCTCTGCTCCAGCCCCCTAGAGTTATTACAAATACCACCAAACAGGGCCTTTATATAAACGAGTTATTTAATGTATAGCATGTCGGAGGTACTCTAAATTGTTTACTTTCCTCAATTGGCATCCATGTTACGTTTTCTGGAAATCTATCAGTCTTTTGAGTCTTCGGATCCTTGATTCAGCACAAGTGAGTCTTTATTTACGTGTTTTTCAAATCAGTAGATGTCCAGATTATTTGTATACAAAAGTACACAAAGGTAAATTAAAAATAAAAAAACCGCAAAATATATGGGATATTTAACGACATTCGTAAAACCTAAGTGCAGATATAAACCCAAACAAAGTTTTCGTGCTCTCAAGTGAAAACGCGCTCGCTAATGTATTCGTTTGTCCCCTTTCCCTCAGCAACACAACCGCGACCTTTGAGTCGTCTGCTGGGTATAGCGGAAAAAACATCCTGACTATTACTCCTGCAGGCGGTAAGCACGATTTAAAACTATTTTAATATCGACCATACCGGGTGTTCTTTTAGTTTTTCAAGATCTGTTTAGCATAGTAACAGCAGTAATACAGTTATTGTCAGTGAAAAGGAGAGAACGACAGATAGATGTTTCGGGTGCCCCTCTCCAGTGCCAGCATCCTGCCAATTACTTTACTTGGGAGAACACAGGACACTTGCCCCATTTGCATTAGACAGGACGACGACCGCGCCATATTCTCCCCTGGTGGAGTGGTGTATTTGGCGACGCCTCCCCCCCCCCCCTCCTCCTCTCACGGCCAGAGCACGTGACCAGGCAATGCCTCGTAATGCGGTACGGTTGACGGGGTCGCGGATCTGAAGACGGTACCGCCGCCATGGTTATTCGTGTTTCCGCGGTTCTTTGTGGTGGACATGTTTGATGACACGCGAGACCAAGCGTGGAGGACTGCGTTGACGGCCCTATCGTTCGCCTAGTCGTTGTGAAAGCAGCGAGGATATCTGTCGTGATTCATGCTTTCATTAAACAAGAAAATTAAAGCCTTTGACACAAAACTAGCAAACAAAACAACGATGATAATGCGATTTAATGCAAAGGTGCAAGCGAGCCGGACAAGAATGACAAAACTAATCCCTGGTTTGGGTTTGAAAAATAATCCCTGTGTTTGAAGATTTGTGTTTTGTGATTTGTCCTCCTTGTTCCGCTTCTCCAGAGATTTATTTCGTCAACAAAACAAGGAGAATATAAAATCGCTTCATGAGTAGGTTGTTATGTGTGTTCGGTCATTGAGCTCTGTCTCTTGAGTTGGTGAGCTGTGGATGTTCGGTATTTGTTCAGTGTGCAATGAATGTGTGTTTTTCGAACAGTAATTGTCAAATGGATTTTTATGACCTGACGAAAAGAGAGCTTTCACTCGCACTTCAGAAATGCTCCTTGCTTAGAAAATAAAAAAAAGTGGGCCAATTTTTCGCCAATATTCTTGTTGTCAACTGTGTCCCTTGGGGTACTAAACGAGGTTTAATTTGTATTGAGTGGAAACATCGAGATAAATGGCTCACGCAGTTCCTCCTTCCCGGTGGGAAATAAACCAACTACTCATCGCGAAATTCGGTGCCATCCAAATAATCCCGATGTATCTAGCACACAAACATTGCATTTTACTTACGCGTCTTCAGGTGCGCTTACGTAAAACACACTACAGTTCACGTAATATACAATTACATAACACTAATATGCTGCACCTGCAAACCGGGCCTCTAGTGCCAGCAAAAAAGATTCCTATTAATGGACTTGCACTTGAAGGGGTGATTAATACCAATCAAGCTCATCGAAACATTAGGCACCCCTTTAATAATGCATTAGGTAGATTCGAAACAGCTTTAAAAAATTGCAAGGACAGTCTAATTCAGTCCAATGGAGCGGAGAGACAAGTTCCTGATTTCGACGCTAGTGAAAGATATCGTATAATCCAAGTTGGTTCAACCGAAGTATCATTAAGCGTGGACGTCGAGCTCGTCTTGCATACATGTACCTCCTAAATTAATAACAAGTTATTATCCGTCAATACTATTAAAAATCTTCAAACAACCAGCGACGCCGCCGCCCAGCAGCGCGCACCCAGCGTGCATCTATGGACAAAGCCATGCCGGTCGTCAAATAAACCACACCGAAAGATGGTGTGGGTGACCGACCAATTGAAAAGGACAAAAACCCTGACGCCACGACAAGTCTACCCGTCCAAACTACGCATATCCTGTCCGCGTTGAGGAATTGCAATCTCAAAGAGTGTCCTGTGTTCCCCCTAGTGAAGTGTTTGTTCGTATACCTGTGACAACCAGGACCAACTTGTTGGTCCTGGTGACAACGCGTCGGCTTCTCGTGCGCCTCGAGCGCGTGCATGAAGCCGAAGCACGGCCAAACGCGTGAAGAACCTGCTGAAGGCCGGGCGTAAGAAGGACTCACCCTGCCGTTTTTGTTCTGTCAATGGTAATTTTACCATATTTCGACAGGGCAGGCGGAAACAGGAATCAGGTTTGCTTTCGTGAAACCAACTGCAGTTTTTGACATATTGGAATATCGTGTCTTTACATAGTGATGACTTATACTCTAAAATACGACCCTTCTTTCTCGTTTTCTTGAAGTAACACCGTAGTGTTTTTTTTTAAATCTGACGTAACAAAATAAGCGGCCTGCTGCATGCGAGCTAATTCATCTGACCCATGTTCCCTTTTATGTTCACAGGAAGCACATCGATCATCACGTACGTTGCATACGTGGAATGCGACAAGTGCTCCATTCTTAGAACCACCTACATCAGCAGTAAGAATATTGTCATCTCGGGAACAATCGCCTCAGTTTTCCTTTTCTAAAATCTTGACTATCGGGACGTTGCACAAATACTTATAAGGTTCACTTCTAATATAAAATAAAAAGAAAACAAAACAAAACTTGATATGTTCGCAATGAATCCTTCATCTCACAATGGTTTATTTATCTTGTTTACAAATAGCAGCGGATTTTTTAGGGGCGAAGCTCCTTAGGGTCTAGCCTTGTCTGTCCGGCGTCCGTGCTCACATCGATCTTGCTGGTGCTCGTGCTCGTGATCTCACATGCTCACGTGCTCGTGTAAGGCAAAACAAAAATGATGAAACAAAAAATGTTTCCGCAGTCAACAGGATTCGAACCTGTGCGGGGAGACCCCAATGGATTTCTAGTCCATCGCCTTTACCACTCGGCCACGACTGCGGAACGAGTAGGGAGCTCTGAGATGTGGTAGTAACTCAAGAGCTGGGGATGTCATGGATGAAACGTTGCATGTAGCCGCTCAACGTCTATACAGGAGAGGGCGCTGCGTTCAAATGCGTATATAATCGCGTTAAACTTCGCATGCATTGGCTCAACGTTTATAGACGAGAGGGCGCTGCGGTCAAATACTCAAATCCGTATATAACCACGTTCCATATCACACATTCTCTTTTTGACATGGACGAAAACGAACGAAAGGCTCGGCATGCTACGGCTCAGCGTCTACGCAGACAAGCACCACCAGAGCTTCGCCCCAATCAACATCATTCAGCACGTGGAGATGCAGTCATTTTTTGCACCGTCCAAACTAGATTTACATTAATTTACCAACATAATATAAAAACATCAGTCAATATTCAACTCATGCACATAAACGGGGGCAATAGATTCCACTCATTTGTTTATTGTTCGCACAACACATATTTAAAAGTGTTTTTTAGGAGGTTATATTCAGGAATGTTTCGAGTTACTCAGTCTGGCTGAATGCCGAGGAGGTGGCAAAACGTATAGGTTTTTGTCTAAGCCACATTCATTATTAAGGGTCTAATGTAAAGCACTTAACCTTGCAAATGTCTATCCCCCCCAAGTGATTTGGGAGCAGATTCGCGTATCATGTCAGATACTAAAAAAAGACGCCTAAAATGATTGACAAATATTTTAGCACTGGGCGTATCTAAACTTTAATCTGCGGAAAGTTTCACAGACCCGCCACCTGCTTTGATATTTTACCTCATTCACAGGTAGAGTGCTTTTGTTTGAAGCCAGGTATATAAGGCCAAGATTATTCAATGTGGGCACTATTGCCAGTTTAAAAAGGAAAGCAACCAAAAGAAATAACTATATTTGGCGGGACCGATATTGTACCTCGCCGCTCAACATCCCTTAACTTTATAGCGCAATTAAAATATTCTAACTTGTAATACGTGTTTCCGAATAATTAATAACGCCGAAAGAGGAATGATCTCATATCCAGAAAATTCTAAACCTTGCAGATTCTACTTGTGCACTCCTGAAGCCAGAGTCTGAAATAAACAAGAACACCACCTGCTGCGATTTTATTTTCGATCTTCTTTGTGGTACGTCGCCGAAGTACTACATCTACGATGACAGCTGCTAGGTGCAATAGAACCTTTACTTTTGTCAGCATAAATGCTTGGGTTAAAAGCCATAATTGCTGCAATAAAGACGTCGTGGTGGTGGTGTTTGAATATTTGGTTGTTTTAACTGATTGCGATTATTTCGAAAAAAAGGCAATTTTAAGCTGCAACAATTATCACGCGTCCTGCTTCTTCTTTAAGTTAGTATTAGATTGCGTAACTAATGCCGAAATAAATACCTCACAAATTGTATGATTTCTAATAGAAAAAAAATCACTCAAACGTTTTTGTCAATTTTGCGTGTAACCTAATGATGGACGCTGCAAAGTTTGGATTTTAACTAACATTTTGTGACTCGCCGCCGCGTTTCACCCGGGAGATTCTAATTTGTTGGCAATTGCTCGTCGATTTAGATTATTTGATTGACCTTAAAAACGGGTTCACACACCTGCGACTGCTAATGACTGCTCGCATACCCGGACGTAGTGCTCGCATATGCGGACGACACGGCCGTGGTCTGCTCGTCGTGGACGCAGGTGCGCACGGTGATACCACAAACGTTGGCAGTGCCTAGAGTGCGGCGCTGAACTCTGGCAAGACCGTCGGCACCAGGCGCGGATATTGGGACCTGTAGCCAAAGCAGCTTATTGGAATCACCTAAGTGACGAGTTTGTCAAAGTATCTAGGCCTGAACATAGGCACTGAAACACTCAGTGCTGGGCGCGATTGTCTGGACATTAATCGACTTTCAAAACAATTCTGGACCGGCATGCCAGGTATACTGTTTCGTTGAATCGCGCATTTTTTTGCAACGCTGTTAACAGCTCTCTGCATCATCCGTGGTGGCAGAGATAAACTATAAGATCGCTTCTCAAGCGGTCTTGCTTTCTCTGCACACAGGGTGCAGGGGACCCATTGAGCGACTTGCTTCGAGGCGAAGGTTCGGCACTCGGGGTTTACCACTGTTAGGTATGCATCTTACAGCCAGTATACTGAGGCTGAAGTGTTCGGCTGCTTAATTGTATTCGTACAATGCGCAAGACCATTATCGGTAATCTCTTATATTAGTGACCTTTTTAAACTCGAAAACAAAAAGAGGGATCGGTCGCCGAGTGGGATAGCGCACACCAGCTCGGAGCAAGTGTATTGAAGGCTCGGACTGCAGATCCCAGGGATCCTGGGTCCAATCCCCACCCCTGCCCGTTTCGGTCTGGATGTGCATCGTGCCGGGCTCTCAGGAACACGGGTGCAGTACTTACACCCATTGTCTTATATATATCATCCCAAAGCTACATGTCAACGTTCAGTGCATTTTGTCTAAATGACGTTATCAACTTTTACTTGCTGCTTAATAACTGTGTGATATAACTTACTAAACAGCTAATGTGCGTATCACAGACGACAGAAGAAAAAAAAACAGCTTTAGCAGTGGGCCAACAAAACCTTAAGTGTTTTCTTGCAGCCTTTAGTGCGTACATCGCTAGTTTAATAAGGTTCATCACGCGACTATCAAGCCACTCGTGAAAGTTTATCGATGTCATGAACTAGACGTCATATTGTATTTTTTAGGTTGTTATATATGGTACAAGGACTGCAAGCACTCGACCCCCTATTTCTCAGAGTGCGGCGTGCGGTCGTGTTTCACTAGTGCTTGGTGCACGTTAAAGACCCCAAGCTAGCGGTTGTACTCCACTGGCTACACTCTTAAAACAGGTGGTGTATGGAGGTACACCCCTTGTCCCATCAGTAACACTCCAAAACATTTCTAACATTTCTAAGAGTGTAGATTTTTCATCTACACCTGAGACACAGATACCGATTGAGGCGGAGGAACTTTCGGCTGTTTAAACGTATAAAATAACAACAACATGACTATGAATAACGACAATTCGTGAATAACATTGGAAGTTTTGAT